CTAATTCAATTTCATTATCATTCATCATCCGGCATTCATTCCGCTGGCGCTTTAATCAAATTCCACTATAGAAGCTGTGCGCTTGAACGGGAGCTTTTGTGCATGTCCTCGGATATTTTATTTTGGGGCTTTCGAAAACTTCCACTTCTTTCCTAAAATGCCTACCTAATTTTAAGACTAAGATTCCGTTCTAGAATAAATTGGACATTCAAAAAATTGTATGAGCATCCCAATGCACCAGATTTTTTTGCATTCGATTCCTGCATTGAACATTGATGTTGAATTAAAATGTCACGCATTAAATGTTTTAATTTTTCATCATAAGGAAATTCCAAATTTCAAACTTGAGCATCACGTGAAATTTCAATAAATTTTGCCTTTAAAGCATTTCAAACTATACACTGTTGCCTTTTAAATTTCCTCTTGATCGCCAGGTAACATTCGAAGGATAAAATATATTGGCGTGTCCATTTTTGCTCTCATTATTAATGCTTTATAAATTTTCTGATAATAAAGAAATATTTCAATAGATTCGTTTTTCTGGTTTTTGAAGAGATAAATATCTACTGATAATTTTTTTTTCATCAGAAAAGTCGGCCAAGAATGAATGGGGTGTTTTAAACATTTTACATGTACTTTTAATGTGCAATTTTTATCCATCTCTGAAATCCAAGGTTGAGTATCCAGGTATTTCATGCCTCGTATCTAAGCTGACGGTAAAAATCATTCGTTACAGTTCGAAGCACATTATCATCAAAAGCGCGACTTCGAGGGGAATAGTGTAAAAATTCATTTTGTCGAGGAGACATTCCTCGGTGTCTTTTTCAATTTTCTGTTTTTATGACGTGTTTTTCTTTGGTCCTACAAGCTAAGTGAAGCTTTAAATAACTGCCGTTGTAAATATTAACATAGATAAGATCATTTACCTGAAGGTGCCCTCGTGAAGCTGGGGCTGAAAGTACAGTACCTCATCAAGCAGCGCTTTGTGTAGAGTGTCCTTTTTGATAAATGTGCAATTTATGCTGAGTCCACATGTATGAGTAGTGCCTGCGTTAAAAAAAAAAAAAAACACTGAAAAACATTTGCATTGAGCACAGTCCCAAATTAGCACAGGTTGGAGTAATCAATCATGGACGCGAAAATTGCAGCAGCCGTTTCTTCGGAATTTTTCAACCCAAATGGCACTTGAAAATGTTTGCAATGTCGAGAGCAGAGAAAATTACATCACATTTGTTTTTCCGGAGAAGACCACGCGTGGCATGCTTTAAAAATCAAGTTGCAAGCGGTTTAAATTCATTTCTCGGTGTCAAGCGTGAAGAATATTGGACCACAGAGCTTCAAAATGCATGTCACTGCGAAGCTGAACTTATTCTTAATGGACCAAACGAATGTTTTTTCTTTTCTCAAACTGTATTTCGAAAATTCTTCTTGAGCGGGTCTCGGGTTCTTCGGGTGATGACAGATGTGTTCCGAGGAAGCGAAAATCCAATGCCCTTGCAATCGTGGCAATTGAGGTCCACCGTGCTTCAGACTTTCCCACCGGACTCGACGCTTTGCTTGGAAAAAGATTGATGACCTGCTGTTCTGTTGACCCTAGTCGACCGCAAATCAACAGCGAAGGGTTCGGAAACGTGTATTATTACCCCCTTGTGTCATGCGTATTCAAATATTCTACGGGAAACCAGTGGATACGTACATTTCTTCCGAGACAAAAAAGTGTTGCAAATACGATGCTAAAGTTTCTCTTACGCCTGTTGAAGAATAACTTACCTCAACATAAATGTGAAAGAAATTGCTAGTGGATCTAAAAACGAATATTAAAGTAAAGTTCGAAATTTAAGAAATGTATTAGGCAGAATCAGCCTGGGACCAGGCCGGGAATCCTATTTAAACTATTTGAATTGTATTTCAATTTTTGTCCCAACACACAAATTTTGAGTAGATAACTTCAGCAACACTTTCAACAACTCAGCAGAACTCTTCGAGAAACTTGTGATTTTCGTACACTACACACAGCAAAAGTTTGATCGCGAATGTGGCTTTGTTCTTTGGTGAACGACGATGCGAAGAAATCGGTTCCTGTTTTCATTGTTCTTGAGTAGTGTAGTTTTCCTTGAGTTATTTCCCTTTGATGGTTGGTTCTCTTATCTGATGCTAGGTTTTCATAGTTCTTTATAATTTATAATTTTAACATTATTCGGAGCTTAGGTGTGGTTTCCCAACAACGTCGAACAAGTGTTTTGTACAGTACTTCCATGATAAGCTTTTGCTAATGTGCAAATATAAACGGGAAATCTATGTGTTCCAAACATATAAAAGGAAAAATAAAACTGCTGTTGTAAAATGTACAAAAGCGAAAGTAGCGCAACGATAAAATACTGAAATTTACTCGGAAGAGAAAGTTGTATGAATTTTTCCAGGATACGTTGATTCGCTGTATGATATACATTAAAAAACGCCAGTTCCTCGTGAGAAATATTTTGTGCATGAAGTAGTTTGGCTTGAAATATAGACCTTTTTCAAAAGTTGCATCCCTTGGTTCAGCTTCACAATAACATAAAATGAAAATAAATTCCATTAGAAATATCTGAGTGTTGTACAGTGATGAGTCCCCGCATAACAAAAAACGCGCGTGACAAAAAAACCACATCAGCACAAAACATTTTTGGAAAATGACTTGCGAGATGAAATGAAGATGTCTCAAATAACGAATTCTGTCGACCAAAAAACGCTTGGATGTTTAACAATTTTTTGGTTGAAACTGCATAAATTTTGAAAATCAATGGAAATGACAAAAGAAGGGCACAGCTTGACCTCTTCTTGCCAATGACATGTTCGAAATTTTAAAAGTTCAGAGCAAAATTGTGCATTGATTACTGAAATTTAATGCAACTCAATTTGAAATTCAACATGTCAGGCTGAAGACTAATATGAAGCCACCCCCCCCCCATTTTTAATGCTTATCAGTCTTAAACGAGTGCCTGGATCAAATTAAATCACTTATATAATAAATCATCTCTTGGGCCGGGAAACAACAAAGGGTTACTAATTGAAACCACCATGCATTTCAGCCAGTATATATTTGACCAAGTCCTCCGTAGAGGAGACCCTTCAAATGCTATAGTTTAGTATCAGGCAGAGATCAGGAAAAGCTTGGATGCAGATGCAGGGATACAAAGCTATGGAGAACCAATCAAATGCCTTTCAGAGCATCACAATATACAGACACACGAACACGTCAGACGTCCCACAGCAGATTCCTAGCTCCTCCACCTGGCAGCAGGTGAATGCTTCAAGTGCAGTGTTCCCTTCCAGCTCCTCATTTTGAAATTCAAATTAATTTCAAAATGAGAATTTCTTTTGAAGATGTTATTTTCCTTTGCCTCAAATCCTGTATTGCCACCATTTTTCCACAATGCAGCAAACTACGGCCATAGCAGCAGGATTTCCACCACCCACTTGGTGTCATCACGTATCCAGGTTGGGACTGGGGAGATTTTCCTAGACCATGTAGGGACATCTTGTGGGGACGAAACTCCATCCAGGGAACTTGCATTTTGAAATAAAAAAATTCAATAAAATTGAAATGCACCCTGGAACAGATTAGTTTCAGTATGCAGGGGCCCATTGTACAGGTGGAACCTCACAATTTGACCCAAATCCGTTGCCAAACTAGGGTCAAATAGCAAATCAGTCAAATTGTGAGGCATTCCATCAAATTAAAAATATGCATACAAAAACGCAAAAAATGAAAAAAGCTGGTTGAATTGTGGAGCAAGGGTCGAATTTTCAAGTCAACCACCCTGCAAATTCGACTTTCAAATTTTTGGACAGTTGAATTTCGAAAGGTCAAATTGCAAGGTACCACCTTTATTCACTTTTGAAGATGTCATTTCTTTCTTAGTCAGTTTACATTTGCTATGTTTAAGATTATGGTAGTGTGTGACATGATGAAGGAAGTTCATTTTTCTTGACCTCCAACTTTGCTGTCAGTTTTTTTTTTCAGAAGATGCCACGCAAATCCTTCATCAGTTCTTCAAATTAATTTTTAGGTCCTGGCAAATATTGATTTGAATTCAAAATAGATGCAAGGGGAAAGGGGTAGTCATGCTTATGCGGAAAAATCCGAGAACAAGTGAGACCGGGTTTCAGAATACACACAAGCTCACCGGGCAGAGTTTTTTGATGAATCATACATCACCCTCGGATTACGTCATCGACCCGAAAGTTCAAACTCATTTTCATCAGCCACTAATCGAAGTTGGAAAGAAAACCCTTGAGATGACCCAACAATTGATTGGCTCTCGTTTGTCCTCCGTCATCCGAAACTGGTAAACTAAAAAAGAAATAAAAAAGCGGTACTTCGGTCAGATCTACATGAACTGGAGTTGCAAAAACTTCTCACCTCACGCAGATATTTGCGAAATGAAAAATAATTTTCCAACCAGGCTTCTATAACCAGCACTGTGCAACGATTTACTTGTCAAATCGTAGAAAAGATAACTTGGGCGAATGTATTGCGAAATTGCAATGAAAACCTTTTCGATCGCAAATAATCCCAGGGAATCCATTGAGGAGAAATGCTAGATTCTCATGCACACGGGGGAAATTTGATTCCATTTTGGCTTCACAAAGCACACGTGAAAAACCCAGTCGAGTGTCGCATCATTTTCGAACTCGAGGCTTAGAGGGAAAGTCGGCCGGAAACGAAACCTGGCGATCGTAATTGCCAAGATTTTTCCCCGTGCCCAATTCGTAAAAAAAATATGCAGGAATTGTGAAATTGGTGCTCAAATGAGGGCAGAAGCATTCTTGCCACGGTTTCAATCCAGTGACGGAAACGTGCTCGCGATTGCGTATTCAGCCAAGGAAAGGCACAGCGCCCAACGAAAGTGTCATCATTAATTCCAACAGAAATGCTCAATAACAGTCTGAAAAAAAAGAAAAAACACGGGTATTTGCATCCACGACAAGATGCAAAAGGAACCATAAAAAACAAAATGAAGGCGGCGTTCTCGCGGGGTGAGCCGCCCTGGCGGCGGCAAGGGCGCCACTGCGGGTATAAATACCGCCTCAGATCTTCTCAGCGTCAGTTCCCAAAAAGCCTCCTAATAAACAAGTGTAAAGAACTCTTCACAAAAGTCGCCATGCATATTTCACTCGTGAGTATTTCACTCCGTTTTCGGAGCCACAAAAATATTTCTACCTCTAAAACTTGAAACTATTCTTGCATTCATTTTTTATTGTGCAGAGTTCTAGAAAATTCAAAAACTTACTTCACCGTTGCGAAGTAAAAGAGAAAAAAATTCCAAAGGATTTCGTCCACAATATTCATTTACATTCACCGATCATTTGCTGCTTTTTGCAGTCATTGCTGAAGAACGCGAATATACACAGCTCTTTCATGACTCTCCATAACTGTTCAATTTCAATTCCCAGATAATTATATAGTAGATACATATAATTTGAATATGGAATAATCTCAATTCCAAGGGATCAGAAATTCTCGAAGAGTTTCTTAAGATGTTTCATCGACGGTCTCTTCCTTTTCAATCGGACTTTTTTTTTAAACCAAAGAAGCGAACAAATTTGCATTATATGTATCAAATATTACATAAATAGCATATAATTTTTTTTTCGCAGATTGCGAATTTCAGGCAGAAAAAAATGAATGCAGAGAATAGGAATGCTTTTATTTTTTAAGAAGACGCTGCCTATGTACAGGTGGACTCTCTTAAACAAAATTCACGGGACCAAATAAAATCGTTGTAGCGCGAATTTCGTGTAGAGAACTCCTACAACACTATGCGACCAAAAGAAAATATTCCCTATACAGAGAAAATTTTTGCAGACGAGGTGGTGTACACACGGAATTTGCGCTCTTCCCTATTAAATATGGGACAAATTTTCAGGCAAAAATGGCTTGAATCCCATGAAAGTGATGTTTCGATTCTTCGGGGTGGTAAATTAACCAATTCACAGCTGTTTTAGATTTTTATAAGCATTTTATCATCTTGAGTATAAGTCGCATAGATGAAGCTGCGACGCGGTCTGTGTGCCCCAAATTCTCGAGTTCGTGCTGCTTCCTCTTTTTTTTTTGTGGGGATAAAGTGCGACCTATGGTATTTTACAGCTTATAATTGCACTGTTTCAGTGTCTCGTCCTCTTGGGTTGCGTTGGTGCCTTGGCCTCGCACCCATCACCATACGCACCACCTCCGAGCTATGGTTACCATCAGCCACAGCCGAGCTACGGCAAGTACGGAAGTTACTGCGACCCGAAGGCACCCCCCGCATGCTCGGTGAATGGTACTCTGATGTACTGCCTGGAAGATGCGGAATACCCCAGCTACGAAATCAAGGTACTTTTCCATGACCGATTTTCTTACGAACGAGTCCTCAAAGCATTCAGAGCCCCAATTTCGTAATTTGCGGGGGTTGTGCGTCCAAATATAAATATATGTACTGTACAGTATACTCGTATATCAGCGTGAAAATAAAAAGTTTAATTATTTTCTGAGCAATACTTCATATGTTTCTCGAGTTCCTATCTATTCAATGCTCGTTTACGCCGCAAGCAATCAAGTGGACTCTTAAAATTACTTGCTACTTTTGCACGGACGCCGAACATATTGAAGCCAATGAAAATGTTCCAATATTTTCTTTCAAAACTGTCAAGTTAGTTTTTGTAATGCGAAGGTGGAAACCAGAGGGAACTTTTATTTTTCCATGGAAGGACCGAATTTAAGCTTAATTTTTTTTAGGAAAAATGACGCGTAGATTCGGTCGGTGGAGGTTTTACGATCTATTTTTGCCGTCGATTAAGATTACTCAATGAAAAGTTTCCTCGGAAAATATCACATTCGATTCATCGATCGATCAGCAGGTTTCACGGCATTGGAATTTCACTGTGTTGCAATGGGGGGATAAAGATTTCGAGATCAGAGTGCTCGAGAAAAACCCGAATGAATGAAAAATCGCGTGACCCAGCACGTGACGTGACTGACCCTCCAACGAGTTGAGTGAGCGAATAGATGTCGATATTCCCCCCTGATCATTACACTCCAGTCAGCACCTGGTAATCTGACTTCTTGTCGAACAATCATGGGTCAAAAAGCAGGTCTGCCTCCCGGAAATCGAGCCGAACAGTAGAAAGAGATACTTCGAATTTCGAAATCGCTCAATTGCCAAAAAAAAAAAAATTACCTTGAGAAAAATAAATGCTGCTAAGTCTCAGCTTATATTGCAGGTAACCGTTTTTTTTAATACTCTGAACTTCTAAAAACACAAACCGTAGACGTTTTTCACTCCCTTCGACGAGGTTCCATGATTTTCTTTACAAGGCATTTTTATTTTCACATAATTTCATAATTGCTCACGCATACTCGTGAATTTTCGATTTACTAGGCAAGCTTTTGAAAACTTTTGAGGAATTTCGGAAGCACTTGGATTAACGGATATTCGGTGATTTGAAATTAAAATTGATCGCATTCGGCAAGATTTTTGCGGAAGTTCGAACCAATGCCAAAGGATTGAATGCTCATTTGTTTGTTCGGTCTTAAATTTCTGCTGCCGCGAAAAATAACGAGCCATTATAAAATTTCGCTTGAATTTCACTCGTGCACTTGAAAAGTGGGACCCCGACATACGGACGATTCGACAAAAACTCAAAATTACCTCCCCACTTCGGAAAATGTCTCGAGATACGAACGCGTTTCCGAAATTTGTAGAAAAATGGAAAACTTTTTTTTCATAATTTGGACATCTCGATTATATCGATTTATATTCAGAATTGTTTTTATTAAAACTTGACTCGAATCCATAATCAAAACGGGCTTCTTTTTTCGAGTGTTTTCCATGTTTAGAGTAAAGCAAGACTCGTTCTAGTTTTTCGCTTCTTGTGCCCCGTTTGATGCCAAAATATCAAATTTTGCGTGGGTTTTTTCTGCACAGTGATTTTCTTTATCTTGAAGTTGAGAAGCAATTTTTATTCAATTTTTTGAACGACTTATTTCTATTTTTTATAAGCTGGAGAACCAATTGAATGAATTCTCATTTAAATCTACGGGAAAAGGCGATCCGACATGAAGACGATCTGACATATATGAACAAGGTCATATCAACAGTTACGTCCGTATCTCGGGGCCCCACTGCAATTTTCGCAGTTGATTAGAAGAAACTACGGTCAGCAGCTCTCGGCAGACGGAGCTTTATTTGATTATTTCCCCATCGGCAAAGCGAATGAAAACAAACACCGATTCACTTACATCTCTGATTTACGACTGCCGTCATGGCTGACACGAAGTGAGAATGCTCAACTCGACTCGTTGAATCGGAGAAGCGTAGCGTCTCGCGAATGCATAATCGTGGATTTATCTCCAACCGCGTTTTCTTGGCGGGACTTTGTGGTAAGAATTACGAAATTATACACAGGCCTTGACGGAAGAGCTGTCCAGGTTATGAGTCAAGCATGTTAATTGCCCTTCCAGCTTAATTGTTTTCGCGCTCCTCAGCGGCCCAGCGGGTTTTCAGTTTTTTTGACGCAACATTCGACGCCTTCAAAAGAAAAACCGCTGATCCGTGAAAATGAATTGCGATTCCCGTGAGAGGTAAAATTGGGCCATGACCTCGCGAAGCTAAAATATTTCCTCGGATAATGAAACGACCTATTACAGTTGGAATTTCTTTGCACACAAAGTTTCACAACAATTAATGCTGAGGAACTCCTCACATGATGAATGCGTCCATAAGATATTCTTCGAGCCACCAATTTGTTTCTTGTCTCAGCAGACTTTTCAAGTTTAGCACACGCAGCTCCTCTTGAGCGTCATTATTCTCTATGACGAAATATGTTTCTTGCACTGAATATCTTTTTAGCGTTCACTGCTCACGAGACATCAGTTTGTTTCTAGCCTCAACAGCCTTCTTTAAAGTAGTTTGCCTCCAAAGAATAATTTTTCCCTACGACGAAATATGTTTACTACCCTGAAAATCTTTGTGGTCTCCTACACAAATCCACTCTTGAAAAAATATGAAGGAAGAAACAATCTTATAGGGAGAAGATGTGTGCATTATATTTCAAGTAGCAGAATTCCTTAATTCAAATGACCTGAAGACTTTTTTAATGTGCATATAGATGCACTGATCATAAATCATGAGTCATGACTAACATGAGTTACCGTAAATCAAAGAACCTGTATCTGTAGAATGTATGAAATCTACCTTGCATAATACATTCTAATTTACTTGACAATTCTTTGTAGATAATTTTCTCTGCTCGAAATCTGCTTCAAACGCGATTTCGAAAAACTCGAAACTCCAGATATCCGCAGTCCTAAAAAATTTCCACACGCGAGTGTTGTGGAAATCTTTCGTGTACATTTCAGGATTTTTTTTTTCATTACTCAAACTTTTGAACATTATATGCCCGTGGTCCAGAATCTCTAAAATGTATATAAATGTAGAGAACCTTCCTGGAGTAAATTTATTTGTCGATTACTCGAGCCAATTTCCAAAAGTTGTAACTTTGTCTTGATCTTTCTGAGTAACAATCCCAATTTTTAAATTCACCTCTAGTGCCAGGTTGCATTTGATTGAATGGCTTACTTCATCCGCTGTGAAAATTTCGCGTACCCGAACTGGTACTCCGTTGGGGTCTTCCATAGACCCATAGGGATGTCCGCCTATTTTTGTAAGACAAAGCGGGTCCTGCTTTTTGGGGTGCACAAATGCTACCACCACAAAAGATTGTGAATAATAATAGGAGACAAATTATGCATTCTCTCGGATCTGCGACTCAATTCGAGAATAAATCAGCTAGACTTGCACGCAGAAGCAATCCAATTGCTTATTTTCTCCCGATTATCTCAGCACCTCTCTATTATTCAACATTTTCGGGGTTTTTCATCACTGAATATAAGGAGGCCATTTTCCAAGAAGCGAATGGGGGAGGCTATTGAAGGAACATCGAGGATTTTATACTTTAGCTGTCTTGCATGATTAAGGAAATTCCCCAACAATGCTGATTCTTTCATATGATGGGTTGCAGGGAGTCATCAGCCAAGACCCGTTGTTCCCGAAAAAGTACTCCGACCTGCCTGAGCAGTCGGGCAAGGACCTGGTGGACCAAGTCGGGGACCGCGAGGCGAAGTTGGACTACAGCTTCTACACAGGCGCGTCCAAGGGCCCGAGCCCGTTCGACAAGACCCACTGGACCGGGCCCGAGGGCATGTTGTGCCCGTCGGCCGTCAAATACATCCAACCCCGTCGCGCCAAGAACGTGGCCGGCGAATGGCGCGTGGTGGTCAACGACGCGCACTACTACACCCAAACCCTGCGCGAGGAAGTGTGCCACCACCCCGACAACGCCTGTCGTCTGGTGCCTGTCTGCGTCAAGAGCAAGTGCACCCAGAAGTACGTGTACCACCGGCTCTTGTCCTTCGACCCCTGCGACCCCTACAAGGGCCTGTTCATCGACGTCTTCCGGTTCCCATCGGCCTGCTCTTGCCACGTCGCCTAAAAACAAGTATGTTCCAACATTCGAGCTGTTCCATTATTCTTGAAAATAATTTCATTCGGAAATTGATTTTATGCCCCTAAAGTTGCTCGGTGTGTAAAAAAAAAAAAGAAAAAAAATTTCGGGGTGCCTGACCACTTTAAAAATTCCTCTAAATGAGAAACGCCTCCGGTTCATCGACGTCTTCCGGTTTTTATCGACCTGCTCTTGCCACGTCGCTTGAACAGGAAAAATTATGTTCACAATAGCCAAGCTGCTCAAGTTATGCAAAATAATTTCATTTGGAAATTGATTTTACGCCTCCGAAATTGAAGAAATGGCATCGGAAGAACCAATTTGCCCAGGCGAAAAATGTTTTTGTCCAGAGATATAGGTTTTACCGTAGACCAAAATACTAAATTGGTACATCAGTTATTTGTCGTATTCAAGAAGGTAAGTTGAAATTTCTGGTCTCCAGAAATTGCAGGCTGAACGGCCCGTTTATGAGTCATGATGAGTTTCTCTTGCACACTGCGAATTTGCGAAGACTTTTGAGACTCAAATTTTGTGCATGCCAACTTGAAAAGTTACTTCAAAAGGAACATGCTTTCTGTCGAAGTCATGGAAGACCGTGTTTGAATAGTTACTGAAGTTCTTGAGTTCTTTCCATGTCTAAAACATTGAGAAGCTGGCGATATACTTTACCGAAGTTAATTAGCAAGGTTTTTTTCCCTTCAAACAATCAGTCTTTTGACGAAAGAGGGCCCCCCAAATATTTTAATCCTTCTTATTTATTTTTACCATGGGCACCTTTCTTGATATGCAAGTAAATATGCAGACTTTCTTGAATTTGAAGTATACCCCTGATATAATGTTTGATACATGAGTAAACAAAACATTGTATCTCAGTATTATTTTCCCAAAGAATGTGAAATTTAAAAAACGGGTCCGTATCGCAAAAAGTGCAAGATACAGTAGATAGATCGATAGATGAACGGCTTTTATTTGCCGCTTTTCAGCGTACACCAGGTTCAAAATTTTGTTTTTCACATCCATTAGTCCACATCATCCAAAACAGTAATCCAAGGTACAGTATTTCGAGGATAAGTGGCATTTTCATCGATTTTATAGTACTTTAAAAGGATGTTGTGTGTTTAATGAAGAGGAGTTCGCCATTGAGGTAGAAATAAGTAATAGTTGTGCAATAAGCTAGAAACAAAGTACGATTATTGCATGCATGAAGTTAGCAGTGGAAACATTCTTCGAAAGATTTTAACGGATGAAAATAATTCTTCTTCGATATGATTTTATTGAAGGGGAGATAGCCCTTTATTCAAAAAAAATTCCGTTCAGATTAAAAAAATCCTTGTTCCGAGGCTGTGGCTATAGCATAGTTGCAAATAGAGTTTAAAACTTTAGATATCGTGAGTATCAAAAGTATCTAGGTATGCACATTAATATACTACTCACCACAAAGTGTTATAATAATGCACAAGAATATCAGAAAAAAGAAAACAGATACAGAATATGAAATGAAGGATGCACACGCACCGAAGAGTAAATAAATGAATGGCGTCAAGAGCTGCGAATTGGTCGATAAAATACAACAGGATTAATTTGAGAAAACGTACAACGTAAATGGCATGAATTCCTGGATGGTACGGATGAATTTTAAAATATTTCCGGAATATTCTAACCGCTGAAGTGTATACTTATTGTCCGGCCTACGCAAAAGCAGCAGGTTTGACGAAGTGAATGCAGACTCATTTGAGAAAGAATTAAAATTTCAGAATTTCTTTCAGAATTAAAATTTGCTGTTGTTCACATTTTTGTTTAGATATCGAAATGGAGAACAAGAGGACGAGTTTCTTGGCTAATCTTTGAGCCTGCGGACCGAGTCCTGGATCATTTCTCGATTTGACATTCATTCCGTTGTCGGACAGTCGCTTCCTTCGAACACCTGCCATCATCAAGTCGGTCACGAATGGAAAACAACTTGGAATTGATCCATGACTTTCAAAATTTTATTCTTCACTGTCCTGAGATTTTCACCCATCTTTTAATCTCGTGGCGCGAGATGCTGAGAGTTCCTGACACTCTCGAAATATTTTACCATGGAAAATATACCCGAAAAGTTGACTAGAAATTCTGCGAGTAGTTATTTTTGCGCATCGTTGCCGATGACAATGGCAGTGACGTCCACCTTGGCATTGGCGTGATAGCAACTATGGCACAAGGCGAGAATCGATGACCACGATCGACGTCGACGGTCAGATTTGCGTGCCATTAAACCTCGTGGCCATGGCGTTAGGCTAACTTTCTCGGCGTCCCTAAGCAACCGACACCTGAACACAGTCGACAGCAGTCAAGACAACCTCAGCTGCAATCCGTGGCACTGTTTTTTCTACACTGGTGCCAGGTCCACGAAGCCTCAGTTCCTCGTCGACTTTCCCTCGACCCGCTTTGACTTGAAATTTACTCTTCTTTTCGGATTTCCTCGCGTCTCGACAGGAGACTGTCGACAGTGACATGGCTGTCGCGAAAACCGGGAAGAACTCGAACGTCGAGTATGGCAATTTCGACGATGACGACGATGACATTGGCGAAGAGCCCGACAACAAGAGCTGCTGGAACAACTTCACGGGTTGTCTGGGAGGTAATTACTTGATTTGCGTTCCCTTTTCTGGGGAAAACTTGTCAACATCATTTTCAAGGCGTATATAATTACAGTTCTTCAAAGAATGGATGGAAGATGATTAAAATGTCGCTCGAAGAGTTTCGGAATAGCCAGAAAAAATCAAACTATATCGAAAATTCCCTCGGGGAAAGGACCCAGAAGTCCGAAAATTTTAAAATTTCAGTTAAAAGAGTACTTCGCGGTGGTGCGAAAACGGGGTCTTTTACGTAAACATTGTTACAATCAAGATAAAGTTTACAATCAGACCATTGACAAGCATGATCGATTTTCGCAGGCATGTGGGCAACACGGCAGATGACAAAGAGCAAAGACAGGGAAATCTACGTTCGTACCACGCTGCGAGAGTTGGTGGTGTACATCATTTTCCTGATCATCCTGATCATCTGTAAGTGACGCAAACCCTTCAGTTGCATAACCCCGGGGTGTTCATTTATCACTAGAACCTTCTCTATAGCACAGCTAAAGCCCGTGTTGGAAATCCATTCGTTCTTCCGTTAGCAACGAATGGCTGCAGGTAGATGAGGTGGGAAATAGGGAAGCTCGAGTGGCCGTGACCGGAATTTGTGGGATGACCGCGCGCAGTGGGCGCTTCCAAGGTTGACCCAACGCATGGGTTGCCCGGGCAATTATGCAGCCCTGCGTGTGTACAGCGACTTTTCTTAGGGTCTTGCTTCACTTGATTGATACTGCTTACTTCTCCTGAGACTATCACAGCAGCAGCGTGACGTCTGCACACAAAAGAAGCTGCAATTTGAACAAATTGTTCTTCATGTCCACGAAGTGAAAGGAATGTAAATGTAATATCCGTCAGGGTTTAAATCACCATATTTACTCGCGCATGGCCACGGTTCTTTTTTTGAGCAGCAAAATCAATATAAATTGAAGAAAATCTTGGAGAGAATCCACGTGGTCCACAGAGAAAACCTGCAAAATGTCGATAAAAATCCAAAACGGGAGAATTTGAGGAGTTTTTTAAGGTCTAAATGTTTTAAACCCCACAAAAAATGCTGCGTTACGCCAGTGAAAATATTCAATTTTTGTGTAAATAATATATATAACTGAGTACAGTACAGTATAGGTCACTGGGACAAGACTGAACAGCAGCAGCCTATATTTAAATATAGTATATTTTACTACGTATATCGACTGCATGTATCCGGGAATTTTAGGACATTCAAAAATCGATAATAACACTCGTAATTATAGTAATTTAAATACTTTATTCGGCTGAATATATCGCATTTTTCTCGAAAATTTTCTGAAAAACAGGGTTGCGGCCTGTATACGTGCTTAAGATATTCAAGTATAGACAAGACGGAGACCTTGTATTTGTGGCCTGAGAAAAATAATCAAAATACCCAAGATTTGGACTTGACGGTGATTTTCCCGACTCAAATTCGAAACTTCAATGAGTATTGTATCTTACTCTCATCATACAGAATACGATTTAAAAAAAACAGTAATTCCTCACTTCATGAACAATTTTGAAACCCCCCACCTTTGAAGATGAGCCGTAAATGTCTACCAAAATAGTTTAATTTGTTTGAATATGCAGTTTCCCTCGAATTCCTGCTCAAAATCCGGAATTGACTCATTTTGGCTTGTGGCCCTGCATATTTGTGGAAATTCAGTAACCCCTGATTTTTAAATGGATAATTGTCATATTTGTACAGTGCTTTTCTAAAAACCAATAGCGGTGAAATTTAGGGAGTTTATTTTATTTTTATTTTTTGGTTTGAAAAACGCGCTCAGGTAAAATTTTTTGACGTTTTTTTCTGTTTGAATGAATGTGACAGAGAAATCCGAAAAGTCACCGACGAAATAGCTGAGCCTGTGACTACCTATGCTGATAAAAATAAAATTAAAAGTCTTGCTCTTATAATGAACCTAAAAATCTCTTTCATGATTCAATTGAGCACGAGACAGTAAACATTCGGACGACGACTTTCGCTACAAAGCGGAGAAAAATTTCTCCTTTCCAACAAAAGTTTTAAACTCGATATGGGTTTCGAGAATAACCCTCGAAAATATGCACCTCCCTTCCTTCCGGTGAAAAATTATACTCGTATGATTTCCCCTGTTGGCGTGGAACTATCTAAAGGAGAAACTTGGGACTTGAAATATCGCCTAAGATACTCGCCCGTCAAAAGGGAAGTTGGAGAGGAAAACAGCAGCCTTCCGACGAACTTAATCAATCATAGCACGAGAGTGTGGCTTCATGTTCGGGATTAGCGTGAGGCTTTGGCAGAAATCTCCTGGTATTATTGACGAGTTTTTCCAGAAACAATAAATATTCGCCTTCATATCCTAGTTCGATGCTGGATTTCTCTTGATTCACAAAACGGAATCTCGGAATCCATAAGAATTTACGCGGAGTCGTACCAAAGTTTAACTGACCATTTCATTGTTTATCTCGATGAATATAGAATATTCAACTGAATTAGGTATTTCGTGCACGGGAAATAAAATCAGAGCTCTAAAAAGTTCAAGTGTTCGAAGTTGTAACCCCGTTTGAAGGCACTTCTTTTCCTTGAGAAATCATCTGAACTATTTACAGAAAAGTTGAACTTTCTTGGAGACTCGAACCCTTTTTTTGGAATTGTCTTCGTATATGGAATGAACAATTGATTTGAGATCCCATTTATATTGCGTTTCTGTGCGTTTTATTCCACCCCCTCTAGGTATCCCACCAAAAGGAGCGCTCCAGGAAGTATTTTCTTAATAAACATTTCTAAATCGGGTAGAACCAGGAAGCCTTATTCTCTGGACAATATTCTTGGATTCGTCAGTAGGAAATAATAAAGTACACTATATATATTGTCCTGTGAATATCAGATTTGCTTAAATTTCATTAAATCCACAAAGCCGGCGAATTTTAAAAGAGTTTATCTGAGATATAAATCGGGAGAAAACAGTTCATTTCACGCAAAACACGTTCAAATTCTATCAAATCAAGAACATCTCGGACTATTTCGTGACATCAACGCCAAAAATATCACCGAGCAATGGAAATTAAATCCCCACGACTTTCAATAAATATGCCATACCGGCACTATATTTGTTGTCGTGTCGACTGTATACCTGAAATATTAATCGTGAAAAATGCAGCAACAAAAATTAAATTTGAATTAAATCAAGATTTGCATGAAAACTTACATTTCACGTCTGACCAGCAGCACCCTGGTCCGCAGATTTGCGCGAATCCCATTTGTATTGAGCTGCCACGCGAGCGAATGTTTCTTGTCCGTATCTAGGAGATCCTGTAGCAATAACCGTAACAGCCCCGAGGTTTGGCTCTTTTATGTTACCTTGGTCACCAACTTGCATGGAAACCCGCATTTTCGCGGCATTATTTTCGAAACGCAAGGGATCAATCAACTGCTAAAAACTATGGTGATAGCGGTGCCTAGTCGATGCCTCGCTTTCAATTAAGGTAATGAACTAGCGTTGCACGTGGGAAACGCATTTCATCATTATACGAGGTAGTCTTTTGACAGGCCCAGAAAAATATTCCGAATGAGAAACAAAGTATGGTATGCGTCTATATGGCAAACTTTGCTCTGAAACAAACACGAACCCAATTAAGGCCTACTCATGCTTGCAAATTCCCACTTTTTGAGCTGGACCAAATAGAATCTGGAGTATCCACTTTAACCGCGATTTTGAATGGCAGCGTCCCTAAAACACATGAAACCTCATTTGAAATAAAATAAAAATGTCTTAAGCAATTATAACTCAAGCCGCTTCATCTACTCGAATTGATTTGATCTGTCCAGAAAATGCAGAAAGAATCACGATTAATTTCATAAGAAAATCAATGGAGATTCGTCAAAAATGTTTACAATATTCGTGGAGATATTGTACAATAAGGCAGCTGCTGATGCAAACTTTGAGGAAAACAAAAAGGCTGACTTCTAAGGATTATATTCACTGTATTCTCTTTCCTGAAGTGTCTCCATGGTCTATACCGTATTATAGGTCGTGTAATTAGAAAATTTAATTTTTGTTCCTCATACTGAGCAAAATAATTCATTATCCAGGCGATAATCAACCAATCAATAACCCAAATAATTGAGATTCAATTGTGTTTAAATCAACTGAATTTTTGAAAGCTCGTTCTCTAATGAAATTTCCATATGATACACATTCTGGAAGTTCGTTATCTTCAAATGCCAGCTGAAAAAAATTTAGAAAATTCCAAAAATATTTGCAGGACAGTCATAAGCATTTTCATATGTTATTCTCGTCTGTTAATGATCTTAAATCAATTTTCCTTGCGTAGTTACGTAATAGTTGCTTACTGTACAAGCATTCTGCGAAACTATGTTCCTCGTGCGCATCCCAGACGTTTTATGAGTTCTACCTCGTATAATATATTAAAATTGGCAATCAGTATTTAAATATAGAAATCTAGGATACAGTACCATATATACGGATCAAGTTGAACCTTTCGCTTTTCCTCGGAGAAAAATTAAGAAGAAAAATGTTCACAGACCAGCAGCATATGTAATGTAAATTGTTCATTTTGTTCCTCTAATATTGACGCAATGGATTTCTAATGGTTTCTTTCTCGAAACTCCTGTTCAAAATGCTGATGTTCGTGAAATAAAAGCCCCGTCAATTATTTTCCAGTGACATTCGGAATGACGAGCACGACGATGTATTATTACACAAACGTGATGGAGAACCTATTTAGCCAGTCGCCCTGGGGCAACCCTGACGAGAACCTCGAAGGAGCTACGCAGATGATTGACTTCTGGAGCGTGAGAATCTCATTCCCGACCCTCATCTCATATATAACGAAATGAGCATGACTAGCACATCATTATGTGTTGCAGTTTTCGGAAGGACCGCTGCTCGACGGGCTTTACTGGGAGTACTGGTACGACAAAGATAATGCAGTCAAGACGGCAGAGGATGGCACTAATATATTATACGAGAATAAACTCCTCGGCGTCCCTCGGTTCCGTCAGGTAAGATACTCTTGTTCAGTGAAGAAGTCAGTATTTTACGTTTCTTATAACGCACACGCAGAACTAAGTTGAAATTGGTTTTCAAAATCGAGTACAGCGAGAAAATAAAAAAGTTGCTTACAGAATTTTTTTTCATCTCGATACTGTACTGTACTGTGAAAGTTTCACCTGAAATATGGAACCCGATCTTCACATGTCTGAAACAATAATATGCTTACGTAAGACGGTATACAAGTGTAGAGCGAATCCAGCACCCGATTCAATCGCAAATAATCCGGTGTGATTAATATTAAAATGTAATTTCTACTTTTGACGGGAGCATCTTATCGGTCTACACATAATCGTGCAGGTGATCATATGCTCGAGCAAATTCCAACTTTTTGCCTGATGAATTTAATTTTTGCCATAATCAGCAAGAATTAATTTTGAGCAACAAGAAAAACGCAGTCTTCGTAAAAGTAAATGCCTTGGCAGGAACTTACATGCAGAAGAAACCAACTTCGTGTGAAATGCAAATAATCTGTGACTCCTAGCGACATCTACCCACACTAGAAGAAATCCACCATCCTTAATTAGAAGAAAAAGACGAAGGTCTGAAGTTCTTTCGAGACAATCCAAGTTCCAATTCCTTTTCGGATGTTCTTCTGGGTCGGAAAAAAGTGAAAATTTCTGTAAAAAAAAAAAATAGAAAAGAAAAAGAAGCATTCTGTTCGAATCAGTTACACGGTCTGCTTCTTTTATCTGCAGTTGAGAGTCCGAGACGACTCTTGCACTGTTCACGACAACTTCAAATCCGCTATAACTGTCTGCTATGACGTTTACTCCGAGAAAGCAGAAGACAAGAACATGATCCAGCGCATCGACAATTCAGACACGAAGAAAATGTAAGAGTTGTGAAATCACATCCCTCACAAAAATTTGATTTTTTTCTTCAATTGTTCCTGTCCTTGTGTATAGCGGTTGGCGGTACTACAAGGAGTCAGAGTTGGATGGATCACCTTACTGGGGTAAATTGACAACTTACAGTGGAGCTGGGTACATTCAAAATCTGGCACTGACCCGAGCCGAGTCCGAAGCCATTATTCAAGACATGCGGAAGAACCTGTGGATCAATCGCGGAACTCGCGCGGTTTTCATCGACTTCACGGTCTACAATGCCAACGTAAATCTCTTCTGCGTCGTCAAGTAAGTTCACTTCATAATGTTACATGGGCTCAAAAAGGTTTAAAAAAACACATTTTTCCGGATCTGACGAATTTCAATTGAAGGATTACTTTCGAATTCATGGCAACCGGCGGACTGATCCCGTCCTGGAACTTCCGGACAGTTAAACTGCTGCGTTACGTGACTCCCATGGACTACTTCATCATGGCCTGCGAATTCATCTTCTGCTTCTTTATCCTGTACTACATTGTAGAGGAAATCATCGAGATCAAACACAATGGATGTTCGTACTTCGCTTCGGTTTGGAACATCCTTGACATCGTCGTCATCGGGGTAAGAACAGCATTTCTGTCGAGAAAAGAACTCGAACACGAACTCGACATCCTTCAGAATAATCGCGCCTCTCCGAAAAATACGAAGAAAGAGTTTTACTATAACATTGAGCACAAAAGACTACAGATGCACTCATGATAATACGTCCATTCACGTAGATTAAAACTCATGCATTAAAACTAAAAATTCAAGCTATTCATATTCACAAAAGGGGTTTTTTATCCAATTTGAATGCCCAAACGAAAAAAACAACTTGAGGCAACTTTTTTTTAGCAGAGTTTAGGTAGAAGTTGATTTTGATGACGATTATTCATTGGAAGGTTGGACAGAAAGAAACATTTCATTACCAAAGGGGTCAACACTTGACGTCACAATTTTGAACACATTTTCAAACTTGACTTCACTCATTTCTTTTTTAATATTGAATGATGTGGCAATTTTCACTCAATAAAGGGAGCATTTTTTGGCCATGCTTGCGACAGTCAACCAAGGAAATTAGAACTACAGTGTAAAACTGAACATTATTTGAAACGAATCTGAAGGAATTTCTTTTAGCAAAGATGCCTTTAGAAATAAGTACAGCTGAATACTTCTTCATTCAAAGATTATTCAAGACTTTTTGTTTGTCTCATGCATGACGTAGAGTTTCATTACATCTTTGTGCACTACCGGAAGTATTTTAATCATGCAGTGATATTGTTAAAAGAAGTCCTACGAAAATGCTATGCACCACTAAATCTCTCAATGATTCTTGGGTAATTACTTTAACCAATATGGCTTGTTTGAAATAAATTTGATATTTTGACATGATTGATTTTTTGGTTCGTGCATAAGAGGTCGTTAAAATTGCTGATGTAAAGCTCATTTAGAGCGTGGGTTTCCTGTTGACGTCTGCTCAAGTTTATATATTTGAATTTATCGTCAGATAATCGCAAACTCATGAATTCACGAAACTTTTAACTGACGCATTTCTCAATATCTTTCAGATATCGGCCTGCTGTATTGCTTTCTCAGTATTCAGATACATGAAGGTGGAGTCATTGATTGGGGACTTGCTGAAAAATCCGCAAGAATTTGCAGACTTCGAATTCCTTGGATATTGGCAAACGAGGTACAATGACGTTGTCGCAGTGTGCATCTTCTTCGCTTGGATCAAGATTTTCAAGTACATTTCTTTCAACAAGACAATGACGCAACTCAGCAGCACTTTGTCTCGCGTAAGAGTCAATGCTTTTCTTTGACTAACACAAATAAAGCAATTCAAAAATTAAAGGGAGGTCATCGTGCAAGAATTATAAAAAACTTTTTGGCAATTTTCTTCCCAGTGCGCAAAAGACATTGCTGGCTTCTCCATCATGTTCTTCATTGTCTTCTTCGCTTTTGCGCAACTCGGGTACTTGCTTTTCGGAACACAGGTTCGTTACCGTGTGACTTTGTTTTTTTTTTGATTCCGTTCAAGTAAACGAGATTTTTTTTTAATAACCAGGTCAAAGATTTCCGAAGTTTTGGTGATTCAATTTTCACTCTTCTGCGAACAATCTTGGGTGACTTCGATTTCCACGCTATTGAAGATGCCAATCGAGTCCTTGGGCCGATTTTCTTCATTTCCTACGTCTTCTTCGTGTTCTTCGTTCTTCTTGTAAGTCAGGAACTGAAAAACAGCAGCCTTTCATAATCTATCGAATAAAATACTTTTTTTTTTACGTTGCACCTAATAGAACATGTTCTTGGCCATTATCAACGACACTTACTCAGTGGTGAAAGAGGAAATTGCAAAGCAGAAGAACGAATTCGAAATTGCGGATTACTTTAAGCGAGGTTACAACAATCTCATGGGAAAAATGGGCAAACGGGATAAACTGATTGACATTCAAAACGCACTGAAACTCTCAGACGCCAACAACGATGGGTCTCTTACGTTCGGCGAAATCAGGAACAATCTCAGGAAGTAAGGAATGGAAAACAGTGCCAAAAATCTGGATGTGCCAATTTTCGTCAATTTTTTTTTCTACCTCGACTCAGATAACACAGCGATTGCTCCGATTCGAATACCCCGTGCGGTTTTGAAAATTAATTTGAGCCACGGATTTCCTTCCCCCAAAGTCCCGTTTTTAAAAAAAAGTTGTGAAACTTCGCAGATGCAACTTCTCGGACCTCGAGATTGAAATGTTCTTTTCGCGTTACGACACCGACGGCGACCGTGCATTGGACGAAAACGAAAAGCGGCGAATGTTGGCTGATTTGGAAGGACGAAAAATGGAGCTCGAAGATGAACCCAAGCCCAAGGAGGAAAGAGCGAAATCTGCTCGACCGAGCACTGCCACTGTTCCTGCAAACGCTGTTTCTTTTGAGGAATTTTCTCAGTAAGTCAAGGCAAAAAATAAAAATCGGTTTTCACGTCACCAGAGGACCGCTGCTCTCAGCGAATATATTGAAAAATATCAGAAGCGATATTTCTCTCAAAACGAATTTTGTATTATCCACATTATTGCATGACGCAGATATTCATGAACCGATAAGACAATTTTAAATTAAACGAAAATTCATTTAGTTGGATTTCCCAGGAACTTTTGACTACGTTTTATTGCATAGAAGCTGGCATTGTAGTCATACATTTGAAGAAAAAAAAATGAGACGCCGCAGCAAACATTTGTGACCCAGAAAATTACGCCACGTTCAATAATTTTATTTTACTTTTCCTATGAAATTTTTTCTGAAGCATATATTGGCGCCTATAATTGTTGTTCCTTGAGTAAAGTTGAATTCTAATTATGCAATCTCGTGCACCAGCATTTTTCCCTTGGAGGCTCTGAAATATTCACAATCATATTCATTGCAAAATTGCAGCGCGAATCGCCAAAAGTTTATACGAAATTTAAAATGTACACAATTAGAAAATAAACTTCCCAACGTTGTCACAGGAAGGTAATCAAAGTCCCGAAGTGAATTTTTCGATGAACAATATGGTGAACAGCTCTGAATATTATTCCTGAAAATCGGCTGTGTGTTTCAAGGAAACTTATTCAACAGAATTTCGATATAAAAGTAAAAACGAGGGCTCGGTGTAGCGTTGCTTCAGAGGAGGGTTTCTTCTGACGTCAGCTTTGAAATTATTCCGTTTTCAAGCAGAGCATTCCCGGCATGAACGAAATTTGAAAGTAAAATAAGATGAATTTGCTCCAGTAAACAGAAATCAATGAGAAGATCCTCAATAAAAAATGCGCTTTCTCGCTCGCAGGCTGCAAAGCCGAGTGAACAGAATGGAGCATTCCATCGGCAGCATCGTCACCAAGATCGACGCCATGTTGGTGAAACTCGACGGGATGGAGAAAAGCAAAGACAAGAAACGCGAGGCGATGAACAAAATGCTCAACGCCATCACAGAGGACGACCAGGGTAAGCAGGAAGGCCAAAGCACCCAGCAATCAATTTGCTAAAAACAAAGACGCGCTAAAAAAAAACATCAACACGTGACACCGAGAAAAAAAAAAAAAATTCGGTTTTTTCACAATTTATTGTAGCGATTGACACGGCGCTTGCCAGTCGACATCACGGAGACGCCAAGCGCAGACAAATGGATGATTTGATCAACGCAGAAATGGACAATTTGTAGGGGGCGGCGTTAAAACTTCCCGGATTATTCCTGAGTTATCACGCCCGTAAGATCATTTAAAACGAAAACTTGCATCGTCATAGAATTTTTTTTTTTACTTTGATAGTTAGTGCAGCCCATTATATACTGCCATTTTACCAGATGCTTTCGTGCAGAAGTTCTCAACCTGTTCTCCACGGAGCCAGAAGAGCTCCACTGCCGCTGGAAAAAAAAGAAGAATGGAATATACTACCAAGAAAATTGGCAAAAAATATCACGTCCGTGTTCAAGGTTTAGGGAAATTATACATCTCAATTAAATTTACTAACAAGGCGAAAATGCAATGAATGCTGGGAGATACAATGCCGTGAGAGAAAATCCCAGTGTGCTTGAGTCGTCCTTTGTTTCACTACCCTGCTAATTCAAAGCAAGTTCAAACAATACTGTTGACGCACAAAAGCAATCCTAGGTCAGACAATGTGATACTTTGCTTTCATTGCATAAAACTTTGTAACATTGCATAAAAATGTGTCAAGGTAAAATTCCATCAATTCATCCGCGTCGTGAGATTTCGTTTTCCAAGCCAATTCGTTTTTTTTTTCGTCACTCAATTCAATTTCATCCGCCAAATTTATTCCCCTTCAATCTCCTATAGATTGTTTTCTTTGCGTGAAACAAATTTCCGTAACGACATTTTTCTCACCGAGATTATCTCCATCTCAGCATTTTATCGTGGCATCTTTTGAAAAATACAGTAGGCTTACGTGGTTTTGACTCAGAAATGAATTTAAAAATCGGCTCTACAATTCAGAAGGTTGAGAAAATCTGCTGTAGTACCACCTGTTGGCACTGTAGAGGCATGTTTTTTTTATACCAGATATTCAAATACCGTATAACTCTGCGCCATTCTTCGGAACGAAAGGGTTGAATGTTGAGATTTGTTTATGGCACTATATGTTATGCCTGACTTTCAAGAAAAATTTATTCCACGAATATCATGCGCACTCAAAAATCTCCTCGCACAAAATCCTGAAAGTTTGAAAAAAAAAACGCACAGTGCTGTCCAGTATTTGAGTTTCATTTTTTCGTGAGCTGAAACATGAATGCTCGAACGAAATGATCTGCAAAAAATCCAAAACGTCCCACTTTTCTGAAGGAGAAAATTAAAATCACCAAGAAATGATGATAATTTTTTCATCTCTGAAGACTGTCCTTCAAATTATACTCTGCGAGAGTTCTTTAAAATCGCTTACCCTTTGAATTTCAAGAACTTTTTTTCTCGAAGTTCAATCAATTTACACGTTTTTCAATGACTTGCTTTTTCATTCGCTTCTTTAAAACGTAGGCACAGAAATTGACATTGCTTAGAAGTACCGTAGACTTGCGACAGCTTTCTTAATTCAACAGCTCTCAGTTTATGTGTGACTGGAAGCTTAATGAACTTCAATTGTGTTCCACAGATGCACTGAAACTGCAACAATGAAGATACCTCGTCACTCTTCCACCCCTTCAATAAACCTAGAACCCTTCTCTTATCAACTAATTTCCGATGACTCACGGAAGGACTCGATCATTCTTTGGAGGACCAGCGAACAACAATGTCCCTGTTCTGATCATCAGTTCCACAGACTTCTAAAGTTGGATCGACTCCGTGCGGATTTTATTTTCACGGAAACTCCGGGGGATGACCTGAAGCAATTCTCAGTCGCACTATTTTTTATATAGTTTTAGGATTTTGATCGTGTTTCTCGAGAGGTGGACGAATTATTGACAGATCTTCGAAAGAGAAATCTTTGGAGAGTGTTCGAGTGGCCTCGGCATTCCGCGTGCCTTACAAATATCCGCGTGTTGAGCTCAACAGGGAGTCAAGAGAAAATATCGATTGGGGAAAATGCCAAGAAAAAATTCCCTGGTTCCTTTTTTAATGATGACCCGAAGATGCTGTATTATCCACGTTGAAGAAACTATCAACAGTTCTGCTGATATTTAAAATCAATTGTCTCTAAGAAACTTCCATAAATATTCATCTCTGAATCTTGCTTGAAAATTCACCGTAGAGTATATTTTTGAAAACATTTCCTCGCAATTCATATTTCGGAATCATTATTTACTCGAGTTCTTTCTCGCTTCAGCATTTCCTCCCGCGTAATCTTCTCGTAGGTTGAAATTGATATCCCCGATGAAATTTGTTTCAGTGGCATTTTCTCCATGCCGACATTTTTTCAAGGCACCCCTGAATAGGTATTGGAGTGAAAGCATCGACAGTTTTAATCATGAAAACGCTCGGACCTTCGGGCTACGGCAAACTCGGTGCACTGGTGGAACCCCAACGGCCTCGGAGGGTTCAAAAGAGACAGAGAGAGGGCTTCACTCGACACCGAAAAAAAAAATCACCACGGACCTCCGGGCTGACCCAGTGCCCGATTTTGCCGTCGACCCGCGGAATTCCGACTGTCGATCACTTATTGTCGCCGACGGTGGCTCGCTTGCATGTAAATCTTGCGAAGTGGAAGTCTGACGAGCGAAAGAGATTATGGATTATTTCCCTGAAGAAAAGACAGCGACTTATTCTTATTTTTACAACTAGAGAATCACAAGGGAATCTTATGGCTCAAAGGAAGTTTCACCGACGACTGATGATGAGAAGACCCGAGGAATTTTCTTTTGTCTGCTAATAGCCAGCAAATTCCACTTCTTAACAAGAATCACACATATTTAGAAAATATAAATGGATTAGACACAAGGCTCGCAAAATCGTGTTCCAGTACTGTATCACCAGCATCTTGAATAAAACGTAGGTAGGCATAAAAATCTGAGATATTTTTGAATTCCGAATAGGATAAAAACTTTGAGCTCCCATACATAGATTTACTTTTTTCCATGGGGCGCCGTCCATTAAATTCACGGTTAATCAAAAATGGATGATTGGTGTAATACTAATTTTTGTGAAGAAAAATATGCGATTTATTTTTAAAACTAAAAAATCTTACTCAGTGTAAGTTTAACCATCGAAAGAAATTGCGGATTAGACTGAAACCTCCTCAATAACTGCTGACGTGGTCAGATTATAAAGTGTCAAATGCCTCTCCCCAAGTAGAAAACAAATCACAGATAATCAAATGCATTCTTGAGAAATACAAGTTTTACTCTACAATGACTTGAGGTAATAGTATGCCGCTTGAATAAAGCATACGTAGGTCTTCTAAACTAATAACATTCTTTTTTATGCTTCAAATTGAGGTCTGGTGCCTCGTCTCAAATTAACATATTATCAGAAAATGATTAAGAACTTTGTGCTGGCGAAACTGCAAGGTTTTAGAATTTTTCATGAAGCACCGTCATTTAAATTCAAATCAAGGCAATTATTTATTATTTTTGCTCAAGTAAGAGACACACCCCATTTTTGGGATAGATTTCCAGAAAAAATGTGAGTGTGCTACTCGAGTAAATGCCGCAGAACATTCTGAATACAAAATATGCTTTGCTTTAAAATGTAAATTGGTGAAAAAGAGAATTCAGTTAGGGCTGCAATTGAAAAAAAAATCGGCAAATGAACAGGGGCTTGCTTTCGCACTGTCTCATCTGTGGTTTCCTCGGGGTTAGTGCAAGAGCTTCATTTCATGCTACGGTATTATACTGACAAATCTTGAAATCCATCATTCTTACATCTTCGTGGGGATAATGTTGTTGCAAACGGGTTCTTCGTGCATTAAAATCAGATCTAACTGGACCATAGAAGTCAAATTGATCACTGAGCAGAAAATTGCAGTATACAGAAAAAGAGAGAGTTCCAGAGCGACGTTTTCTTTTAAACCATCCAACCATACAAGCAAATATACTGGGTGATGAAAATTTGTCAGGCCACCAAGAAAATTTGAATTTTTTAAAACCATCATCTAAAATTAAGAAAAGATGATGGTTAAAACAACGACGGAATGCCAATATTTTAGCTGACCTGACTCTGTGGAAATTAGTGGAGAACTCTAGCTGTAACTAGAAAGTTTTCCCTTATCATCACGCGGTAAATTGAAAAATACTTCTAAAAATATGAAAAAAAAATTCCATAATCTCAGAACAGAACGGGCTATTTCACGCTTTTATTTTATTTTATTTCATTTCAAATCACGCCTAGTTTAGAAATATTAAGGTTGCGTCCAACTGGGACAACCCTCGTATCAGGGTGGCGGTCCACGCCGCAATAACCTCTTGAATTTTTCCTCTTCAATCAAGAATAATCCGAAAAAAGTTTCCCTTGGAGAGGGAAGTCGTTTGCATCCAGCATAAAGCTAGAAGCACAGTCAAGTACAAAAGCATCCTAAGAGTGGTACATTTTCATTGAGCCATCAGCAGAAATGCATCCGGGACCGATCATCATCAGCACTCGGCATCCCGGAGAGAACGGGGGAAGCTGAAATCGCTTTCACCCGCGAGTCTGCATTTACAAGCGGCAGCATCAGCCCCGGACACGTTGAAGGAGGAAATGAAACCTCGAAGCAATTTTCAAGACTGAAGAACAAAGCATTCGTGAGACGGGACTGATGGACGTACGGACAACCCGGTCTGAAACAACTAGTTTCATAATCATTCCTCAAGCTGTCGCGGGGTCAGGAATGCGAGAGGAATCCCCGGGCGAAAGTTCCGTTTGCCATCACGTCACTCCCAGTCAGCGTATGTGTGAGGGGGAAGAAAAAAATGGCACTCCAGACTTTCGGTTCTTCATGAGTCACCGGGCACAGCAAGTGCTTCATCAGGAACATGAGTGAAGTGCTTCGTCTCCTTCAGGCAATGCTTATGATGGGTGTGATTCACGCATCCGCTCGAGCGAGTCTTTCTCCCCAATCTGTAACACACGTCTGGGTATGAATCCGTACCTCAACAGAGATCAAAAGGGGTCACGAAGAAAGTACAGTACTCTACCTTTTAGTTCCTCCCGGATTTTCCCGGAAAACTGTCTAGAACAACAGACAGAACTTCCGCTCGGCAGAAGATAAAAAATCCTGTTCGTAAAACGGAACGTGTTACAGCACATTAAAATCGCGCCAACTTCGTATCTGTTGGCCCCGGAGCACTGGTGTCCCTTTAAACTCAGCTCTGAAAAATCATATTAAGTTCACAAATATTGTGGGTGCTGAAAGTTTTTTGTGTCGGTCATTTTCTTCCTGAGGAAGAATCTTCGAAAAATGTCTTCGGGTGGCCAACCTTATCAAACTGCAGCGTTGCATCAAAAACTGTTTTGAAAGTGCTGACATCTGAGAAACTGAACTCTCTAGTTGCGGAAATAAAATTTTCTACAAAATATATATTTACTTAATTCAGATGTACATTTGACAACGGGGTCTCACTCTAAAACGTGTGCGTGCATTCAAGAATACTTTTGTTCTAGACTAGAGTGAAAGTGTGGGACAAGGAATGGCTCGGATTTAAAGCCTCAAAAGATACCAACGGTAAAAGAGCGAAAATTACTTGCACCTCGTAAATCTCTGGAATTCCTAGTTGTGCTGGAAGTTGGTCTACGATGGCGGTACAAATTTAATCTTACACTGCACATGTCACCACATTTAAATCGCAGCAAAATCCGAAAGGAAAACGTTACAGCAGATCTATCGCATGAGAAGTACCAAAAATAGCTGCAAAGCGTGCAATAAAAATTTCGATTTGTGCCTTAAACAGCTAAAAATAAACTCGGAGAAAAATTAGCTTTTGTTTCATGGCAGAAACGGGAGAATAAAAAGAGTATAATTTCATTTTCAACGAAAATCTCCTGAAAAAAAAATCAGATTGAGACCTGAAATGAATATGTTTACGAGACTCAAAACGTGGAATATTTGTCGGCATCAATTCACAGGCATAAAAGTTTCTCACGGTTGGTGCGAAAAAAAAGGCGCTGAAATTTGCAGTCGATTCAACCTGAATCTTCCAGAATGACGTGGCAATGTGGCACTGCGACAGCAACTGATTCCACCAAGCGAACAAGAAAAAATAGTGTCCGAATTGGAACCTTCAGCCAATTTTCATGCTTTCAAGTGCACTTTTATGACCAGCACTTACATCTGAATTTAATATCGCGGAGAAAATGTTGCCACTCGTTTTTATCACGAGGGTTGAAAGTATTAGGAAGTTTGTCTCACTTACGCGTGGCTTTCATAAACTTGCTCACAGTGAGATATGCGATACTTTTTTCACTGTTCCAGGTTTGCTTCTTTGAGAATCAAAACAATACTTTTCCGAAAGTTTCTCGATAGTAATAAGTGCAGAAAAAGAGCTTTGATTGTAAGAATATTCCACAAAAGTACAGCTTGAACCGTTTATGACTATCATGAGGTACTGAAGCTTGAAAATTGGTCCAGTGCTTTCAGGTCCACCGTGTAGAGAATTAGGCCTTTTCTTACTTACCATGACACGGCAGGATTGCGGGCGAACCCTGAGGGCAGAGGAAATGACTGAGGAAAACTCGAAAGCCCGTTTAAAGTCTCTTCATTCCACTTTCGAAAAAAAAAATCCCGTAGTTTTTAAGAGGACAGTTTTGGTACAAGTAATCACATGACACTTGTCAATGATCAATTTTAGCGGACCCTAACTTCAACCGGCGACGACTTCTTCAATTGACTAAACCCATTTTCTACGATATGAACCAAGCATTCACCAAAAGCGTCACGCCACACAGAGGCGTAAAAAAAAAAAAAACTCAGAAAAAAACAAACCCTTTCAGATCAGCGTTCACAGAATCATCGTCACTTAGCGAATAGAATGTCCCGTCGAATTGCGGAACTCGGTGTGTTCTGCAGCGGAAATACGCAAGGGCTCACTGACTTCGTATCCCGTTCACAAATACCAACACATCCAGCGCACACGTCTTCTTTTTTTTTCCCACAAGATCACATCACAGATATTGCCGGCATGGTTGGCGAAGAAAAAATGCAGCCAGGTTCCGGAATGGGGTCCGGCAGCCGCTTCACTTCCGCACGGAAGCTGCCAGGTAGACACGGCTGTGCGCCGGTTCGCCATACTGCCTGCGGGAAAACACGCAAAGAAAACCGTAACTAATCAGAACAACAACATTCCTGGAAAATCGGAAACCTCATCAACTCTGAAACGACACACGGCATTGTGAAGTGAAGCACAGGGTACTCAGTTTTTCTTTGCAATTTATCCTGTTCTCAGCAGACAAAAGTCCACTCTCACAAAAACTGGTTCGAAAGGATTCCCAAGTACTTCAACATGTCCAGACAATAAAGGAAAAAATAGCATTGCATTTTTCAGAATTGTGTTATCTCTTGAAAGAATTGAGTTTTTCACATTCACAAAAATTGAAAAATAATTTAAATAAAAATTCAATATAATTTATAATCCATAACAGGCTAATTTTGTCTGCATTTTTTCATAGTTACATTATTTCAATCGTCTGAGCACCTTTTGATGTCAAAAGATTACATAATGTGTGGTTTTCTTCTGCACTGTTCATTTCTTCATGTTGAAGTTGAGAAAAATTATTTAATTTTAATTTTAGGGAACTTTTTCCTGATCTTTGCTTAACAGGAGAACCGATTACATATATTCCCA